TTTCCACATGGGTCCTTGCATCAGGTAACATGCATGAACAGAAAGATAAAGAAGATATTTCACAAAACCTGTAAAGTAATGAGTACAAACATTCGAAAAATAAAGGGGAAGAATTCAAATAAATATTAAAGTGGAAGATAAATTACAAAACATAAAAAAATTATAATGTTTTTTGTCATTTTTTTCTGTATTTTTTTATTTGTATATTTATGATTTTTTTTTGTATATGTAATATATTTGTTATCTGTTTTATTTTTTATAGAATGTGTCAGTCTAAGCTGTCAATCATCTGGCCTTCTTCCTGCCCAGACTAGGTAGTCAATACCTGCTAAAAAAAAACATTGTCTTTTTTTTATTTTTTATCTATCTATTCCTTTTTATATTTCCAAATGTATATGTTTTTTTATGGCACTCTTATGATTCCATACATATCACTTAGTGGAGTAATAGTGCAGCGTCATCCATTATTTTCTTTTATACGGTTGCCATATATAATATTTAGTTTCATGTTTAGTGCATAAGGTGCCCCAAAAAAGACATATTTATAGCCTATTAAAATTAATATCTGACAAATATAACCAGCTGCAAATCAAACATTCTTAGGGTGCAAGGAGCGTATAATGGACAGGATGATATCACATTTAGTGCAAAACAAGTGTTAATTAGGTCCAGTTAAGTCGTATGAACTATTTTCTATTCCAATAAATTAGATAACGAGGCTAAAACTTGCATAAAGATGTTTAGTTTTAACGTTCATTTTGTTTCCTTATTTAAAATATTTTATCAGGTATCACCAGGTGAATGTTGGAGGAGCTGGGACGTCGGCCTGCCTCCAGGACCGTCAGCAGATGAAGATTTCATCGAGGTGTCAGTAGAGAGGAAGGTGATGGACGCTCACTTAAACTCCAGGCAGACCACACACACTGCACACAGGATGTTATCAGAGACGGCTCATTCCTTGGCAGTCAAGTTTATTCACAAGGTGCGTGTGTGTGTCCTGAAAACACCTTATTTCATTTTACAATATGTATTAGTCACACACTCGGTGCTTCATCCAGATTCCCTATAATGAAACGCATAACAATTATCTTTTATCTGTCACGTCTAGTGTCTACACAACCTTTTAATGCCAGATTATAAATTCCCAAAGGCTAATACAAAAAGATTATAAAACCGATTTGACAAACATTCATCAAAATCAGAATTGTGCCTCAAAAGAGCATCAATATAAATCGCTCATACAACACCCTCTGTCCCTAGACACCTCAGATCAGGTAAAGCTCTTATAAAATGCATTTTTTTAATCCAATAGGCTTTATAATAGGGTTAAGCAATATTTCTATATATTATATTGAGGCTTGAGTAGACACCGCTTTAGATATTGCATTTTGTGATACTGATAATGATTTATCATAAATGTCATTGTGTAAATATTTAGTGTAAGCATCTATTGTCATCCCTATAATATCAGCAAAACATCCATATTTAGTATTATGTCAAATATATTTAGATATTTGACTTTTGAACACATCGCCCAGCCTATCATTTTAATCGAGTTTATAATAAATAAACTTCTTGAAAGAGCCCCCTCTGCCGGTGGAGCTGTGTGCTTTCTGCTGCGGACCACCCCTCTGACAACCCCGCTGAACCCCTCTGACCACACTGCCTCTGACCACACTGCCTCTGACCACACTGCCTCTGACCACACTGCCTCTGTGCTCAAAGGGCTTGTACACTCTGGTGTGAAGTCCCCGACACGAGGGAAGTCATTAGTCTTCATTAGCAACTTCCAGGAGTTTCTTATGAAGTGCTGTGAAGTTGTCATTTGCCCCCTTTGCCAGGCAAGCTAGATTTAAAGTTTGTTTTCTTATGTGGTGGACCAAATGTGAGCTCACCCGGGCCCCTTCTTGAGACCCCCGGCCCCTCTGGAGTCAGGCCAGGGAAGCCAGTGCGGAGTAGAGAGTTTGTTTTGTATAATATCTGCAAACCACAAAGGAAACTGAGGAATTGGCCTTTGATAATGAAATGAGGGTTTCTTCTTGAGCACAACACAGCATATACTTGAATGGTCTCTCAGCAGATTCAAGTTCTCTGCTGATATAATGTTATGAATGATCTCTAATAACACAGAATCTCAAATGTAGCTTTTGCGATACCAGATTTTCACTACACGAGCACTTGGGCAGAAATAATTTACTATAATTATTATTATAAGGATGCAATTACAAAATCTATAGAACATTAAGATTTAAAAAAAATATCTCTCAGTCAAATTCATGGTTAACTTCCTTTGATTGTGTGTTTTGTCTTTCTTTATGGCAAATAGATTACACTTTAAATATGATTAAAGTGAGATGGAGTGAAAGTGTATAACCAAATTTCCAAAAGTGCAAAAAAAGAACACTTAATGGATAGTGAAAAGATAACCAGCTAAACGGATGAACAGCAAAATGTGCAAGTCCTAACATTCGCAAACACAATATTATCATTTATCTTAACGTGTTATGGATATTTCCTTTCTAAATGTCCCAGTCATTGTCATTACCGTTAAATCGTTCCCAGGTGAAGCACTTCCCCTGTAGGGATACAGTTGTGTTTTCTGTGACATCATGTTGTCTCCGGCCATGGGGCTGCTATCTCTACAAACCCTCTCAAAGTGGCCAATTAAGCATCAAAAGGGCATGCTGCATGGCTAATGTGAGCGAAAGGTGTGAGATTTCTCGTCAGTCCACCCCAGGGGCTCTTTATTGGGCCGCTGCAGAGCCGTCTGATCCCCGGCCCTGGCTGTATATTGGCAGCTGTTAACTGTCGAGCACAAGGGATCTGTGCAGTTAAAGCAAATGGCCAAAAGACTGACACCTGGGAGGAGAAGAGCTCTGCAAAGGTGATCGAGGAGCAGGGAGACGCAGGAAGGAGAGCCAGTGGAGTCAGATGTTAGTTCAGTTAAACAGGAGGAAACAGCTGATTATCCTAACTGAAGATACTTATGGAGAATCGCCAATGATTCCTCCCTCCTCATCATTTTCCCTCAAATGATTTTCAGTGGTTACCCTCGTGCTGTCAATGGAAACAATTTTGTATTAACCTTCATTAAGAACCGAGTCATCAAAACCATGGTGGATCTTGAAGGCCCCAAATATACTGGATAACTCTATATAGAAATATTATTAATTAATAGTAAACAGATAATTAATCAAACTTGTTTTAATGTAGACAAAATTAAATTATAATTCACAATTCTAACAAATTGTAGCACTGCTATATTTTATGTTGTAGCATTAGTTGTGTCATTACTGATCAGAGACAACATTTTTACAATAGTAAATTATTTGTTAACAGTTTATTGTTGAACATATTTTTACATTTTATATACAAGACTATATTAGGTATTTGTTAATAATTCCACGATTATTTGTAAAAAACGAATGCATAATAATAATAACAAACAAATAGATGGGTCCAAAAACGATTTTTATTCAATGAAAAGTATTATTCTATTCCTATTATCTGTCTGAATAATGTTTATAGATTCTTTACAAAGTAGTCCTCAAGCTTTACTGTAAGTGTTAATGTTTTAATAGCCATCACAATCCAATTTACAAACCAATTAGTCTTACCAGTACCTGGTCAGTCTATCTATGTGATGTTAACAAATGATAAGCAATCCATTTTTTAGAGGTTTAAAATAATTTGGTAAAGTTAAACTTCATACACAATATGAAATGTTTGCAACAATAAACTTAATTATAGCATCTCTAATAACAAGTAAATTATTTAAATTATCATCTCCTTGTTTATAGCAGGCAATAACGATACTTTTCTAAGAGTATGAAGTTCTACCCAGTATAGTTTGGGGCCCCATTTAGAAAATCCACCATATTTTTGGAGCTCAGTCCTTGTAAATCTTTTCCAGGTGACCTCCCTGAAGAGTCCTGCAGTGCTCATTGCCGCAGGAGGCTTGCTCTCTGTCAGCCCTGACTCTAGTCCTCAGCCTGCAGACCCCCCCCCAGTCACACCTGTCACCCCCAGACCCGCAGCGGAATGGGATCGACACCGCCGCTGCTCAAACGTACACCTCCGCTCAGACACAGAGAAAAATCATCAAAAATCTATTTATTTCCTGCGGCATCTTCTCTGCAGAGCCGTGTGACCTCTCTGCCCCGTGAAAAAAATCTAAGGGGGTCTTCACGGGGGCCCCCCGAGGAGCCTGCTAATGCTAAGTGAGGAGAGCCACACTGAATCTGTGATTAATAACTCCTCGACAACAGTTGGCTTCACATGAGGAAGATAAAAACACATCGCACTTCCTCAAGGCCAATGTTGTCCCACCAAGCTCCAAAGAGAGGGGGGAAGGGGTGGGGGGTCCCACATCAGGACTTTTAGCATGAGTAAATGATCGTACAGACCCATCTTTAAGTGCATCATTACAACCGAAAGTTATTATCCTTTTTATTTCACATCGACCCCGCAAATGAGCCTTTAGGAAGCGAGTCAATATTTTCACGCCAAGACTTTCTAGCCTCTGACATCTCTTCATTCTCACTAAACCGCTGATTGTTCAAAGTGCTGTGAAGCCTTTAAAACTGTGGGACCGATACTTTTAAAACTCTAGATCATGTGTTGCATAACTGTTATCCATACAATTCCACAAAATCCTCTGTGATTGAGTGTCAGAGAGCTTACAGGTGGCATTGTATGCAGCACGCAGACATGAGAATACAATGAGAAATGTGAGTGGAAGTGGTGTGTCCATGCTAGAATAGAAGTTGAATGAGATGTGAAAGTCACCTCAATTCAAATTGTCAGTGGAAACAAGAGGGGGACTGTGGTCTAATTTTGTTCCTCTATGCTAACGCCTGCAGTGTTTAGCATTTGTTTTGCCTGTGGTAACATGGCACGATGCAGGCCTATGAATGAATGACACCCGTGGATTTTGCCTGGCTGTGGATGGTGTGTGAGGACGGCCGGGTTGTTGTGGCAGGTCTTTATTCTCAGACCCCTCCTCTCCCATTCAGGGCTGACTTGGGCTTGTGGTGCTAACTGGCTGTTAATTGCCTGCCTATACACAAGGCTTTCTCCACATGCAGAAACTAGCTCCTTCAAGGGAAACTTCCCTAATGAGATTATCTATCAGAGCACAGGTCTGTCTAGACACCCCAATATACAACAACCCCACATCCACACACCCACTGCTGCTGGCAGAAGCCTCTGAAGATGCCCTCAGGTAAAGGTTACCTGCAGAAAGAGTGCTTGTTATCATTACACCATTATGGGTTTATACCCACTGCGTAATTTCTATTATGGAGAAGGCTGAGAATGTGGAAAAGTGTAAAGGTCATCGAATATTTAATTTGATAGTCTTTTATCCTATTTAATTTCAGAACAATACATACATGCAATCAATAGTGTTAGAATAATTGTTATACTTTGAAAATGTTGCTATTTTAACTCAGGATTATCTCCTATAAACGTTAAGACTATTCTATTTTCATCAGTTTTCTTACAATTATTATATTGGGTATTTACCAGATTGCACAAACACACTAAATGCCATTTTGGTGTGTGGTTGTGTGTGTGTGAATGATATTTACACAGATTCTGGTGCCGATCTGCAGCAGGGAAGTGCGTCCATATTTGTTTTAAAGTCTCTTAGTAGTTAATAAAGATGCATTTCCTCCGTTCCCTCTTCCTGTGGGGACGGTATCAAGGCTCTGTTAAGTCTCTTTGATTTCCAGCACCCTCCAATCACAGCGGGGCTCTGACTCATCATTGTGCCACTTCAAAGCCTGGGAATGGCTCTCTTGACCCCACCCACCCCGGGACTCCCCTTAAAAGTCATGGTCATCCTCTTCCAGCAGGACTGATCTCTAATGTATCTGCTGGAACAAGACGGACCAACCTTCTGCCTCCCTGAGCTGCTGGATTTCTCTTTTTAACACATGAGGCAGGACGTTAGATCTGAACACACCGTTGGATATCACAAATACTTGGATTGCTTTTTGGCCCTCAGTGCAGGAACCTTTTTCAAGCTTCTCCTGCGTTTAACCTGAACAATGCAGTCCATCAGAGGTGAGTGTTTCTCGGCTTTTATTGGATTTACTTTGCTTTTCATTGAATTACTCCCCATTCCCCCGCCTGTGTAGTGGTTTTGTCTTTAGCTGAGCATACCTATGGTGATCTTCTATCACTTTTACTGAAGCATTTTGCTCTGTTGATTCTTATTTAGACTTGAAGTCCAACTTCGGCCCTCCTCCCCAGTCCATGGCTGCTGGCCCCGATGCCTATATGCAGGGCAACATCAGATTGACTCTGGAGGACCCTGACCTCTGGAAGTCCTTCCATGATTTAGGAACAGAGATGATTATCACCAAACCGGGCAGGTAAGAAGACAGAACAATTCAACTTGATGCAAAAAAGATTTGAAAAAAGCGTTTCCTGTTGCTGCATTTGCTTCTTTTTTCTCATGTGTCTTCTTCTGTGTTTTCCAGGAGGATGTTTCCACACTGTAAAATTAATCTAGCTGGCCTAATTCCATGTGCCAAGTACATCTTACTGGTTGATATGGTTCCTGTGGATGGTTTCAGATATAAGGTAAGATAGCCATTACTTTTCCTTCTCTTGTGAATGTTGATATCAGTGATTTTAGTTGACTTTTCTAAGAAGAGGAAGTTGCCTTGACTCACAACAGCCTTTGGTATGAGGATTTCCCTCAGTGGTTGCCAGTATCCCCAGACAAGACATCCCCTGTGTATCACCCCCCACTGTGCTGACATTGTACATCAAAGGGTGCTATCTCTTCCTGTTTTTCTATCCCCTGCTGGGAGCCCAATGTACTACCCCCTATCTCTGTGGGTGGTACTGGCCGGCAGTCACTCTCCCCTCTGTGGTGCTCTCACCCTGTGGGAAGGGAAGAAGACTTTCCCCTGTGACAGACAGACTGACTCACTATCTGTCTCCTTCCTTCAGTGGAATAAAGAGAAATGGGAGGTGGCGGGGAAAGCGGAGCCCCAGCCACCCTGCAGGACGTACCTCCACCCTGACTCCCCCGCCCCGGGGAGCCACTGGATGAAGCAGTCCGTCTCCTTCCTCAAACTCAAGCTCACCAACAACACACTCGACCAGCAAGGCCATGTAAGTACACTAAGTTTGGTGCTTATCAACAGTGTATTTTCAAATCTATCTACGCTGACTTAAAGGTTACCTATTGTGCAAAATCCACTTTTTCATGTATTTTATACATAAACATGTGTGCCCTCTGTGTAAAGAGATTCTGAAAGTTTCAGGAAGAAAGATTCGCTCACTTTTAGTCCATTTATATAAAAGCCTGTCTGAAAATGAGCTGATCAGATTTTGGCCACTTTATGATGTCATAACAATTGTTTAGCTTGTGTAACCATTAGCCAATAACCAACCAAGGTAACCCCCCCACCTTATCACCTGAATCTCCTCCTAGAGCACCATTGTGTTCTTTTTAACCAAATATCTCTCAGAGGGGCGTGGGGAGGGGCTCCTTATTTTCATCTAAAGTAACAGACAGAGAATCAGCACTTTTGAAACAGAGGGGATTATGGGATGCTACAATGATCTGTTTGGTATTTCAAGCCAAACACTTCAGAGACATGTTTTGTATATATCTGAGACCTATAATATATTGATGAAAAACAGTATAATAGGGGACCTTTAAAGATATTTGATAATAAAGGACTGGCAACACTTACAACATGAAGCTTAAAGTTCTTAAAAACATGAAAAGGTCCTCTGAATGAATCACGATCTTCCTCTCTGCAGATCATTTTGCACTCCATGCATCGCTACCACCCGCGCTTCCACATCGTCCAGGCAGACGACCTGTTCAGTGTGCGCTGGAGCGTCTTCCAGACCTTCACCTTCCCTGAGACTTCCTTCACCGCGGTCACAGCGTACCAGAACACCTCGGTCAGTTTCTCTCCCTGCAAACACAAAATGCAAACTGCTGGCAGGACGCCCCACACATTACCCAGATGTTAACTGTTTTGATTTCCCCTCATACAGATCACAAAGCTGAAGATCGATCACAACCCATTTGCAAAAGGTTTCCGGGATGAAGGCACCAATAAAAAAAGGTGGGTGTCACATTAGTCACAGGCTGATGACCATTTTACAGATTTCCATAGCAGGAAACACTCTTTTCTTAGTATTTTTATGGCTGTCATTTCTGTTAGAAGTAATGCATTGTTTACATTTTACTGATGTTCCTCTGCAGGCGTTCAAGCAAGAGTCCAGCCTGCCTGGAGAAACGAGCCAAGATGTCCGACATGTTGAACAGAGACTCTAAGGAGGACAGTCCACCAGGTACAGATTCAAGACAACTTTGTGTTAATATTTGTACTCTTATGTCCTGTACTCTGCAGTAAACTAATTTGATGATTTGAACCCTCTCAGATTTCTGCCGGTCAGCGTACGAGGCTTACGACGGAGAAGAAGAAGGAGACATGCCCAAACGGAAAGAGGCTGAAGGCATCAAACAGGAGCGTTACTCCCCCTGGGCCGCAGAGCGGGAGCACGGTGTGAGGACCGAGTCCCCCCCCGGGGCCGACCACAGAGACGTGTACAACACGGAGCAGCTGGTCCCTGCCCCGGCCTCCTACCAGCCCCAGAGGTACTGCCAGCTCTATCTGTCAAGCAATACACCTTTCACAGTTTATCAAGTACAGTCAAGGATGCTGTGTAGATGACCGAGAAGTAGAAACAAGACGGAAAGGTAAAAACTGCAGAAAAGACAAAAGTAAATTTAGCAATTTCAACGATTCCTGAACAATGACAATAAAATCATAAAAGATATAATAAACAGTAGTAGTGGTCAAATATAATTAAACACAAACAAAATATTTAGATAAACAATCAAATAAATTCAAAAGTTGTACAACTTAAATACAATTACTTTTAGTTTAAACATTTGATACAATTATACAAACTAAAAGGAGTCATCATTAGTTTTATGTTCATGTTTTTAAGATTTCAACCCTTTTATAAGTTGTCACATTCCCAGACTGTTCCAACTAATCAGCAAATAAAACTAAGAGCGGACTCACCAAAGGTTTCAACATTATACTTTTTAACACATTTTGAATGTCTAACCTTCATTTTTGCATTTACTGTATTTTAACATTGTGGTATTGCTTATTTTACCCAAGTAAAGGATCTGAATACTGGCTGATGCACAACCATAAGGTTCTTAAAAAAAAGAATTAGTAAATAAATTGTATTAAAATCCAAAAGTAACCCTATGTCAGGTCTCAAACACGTTGAAATAGAAGCTGTGCAACACATAAGAGCATTGCGTTGTCCTGAAGAGCCGATACTGATCTCCTTTATTTTCCTCTTCAGGGTCCATGACTTTGGGAAGCCCCCCTCCCCCTCCCCCAGCGTGGGCAGCAGCCACAGCGGGTCAGGACGCAGCAGCTTCGAGTCCCGAGTCCCCGACGTCGCCACGGTGCCAGACCACGACGCCTCAAAGCTCCGCACACACGAGGTGGGCCCCCACCCCTGTGGCCCACAGCCCCTCCCGGCCCCCCAGGACTACCCCGGGGTCCTCAACATGTCCATGGCCCACCAGGCAGGGAAACCGGGGGTGATCGGACACCACCTCTACAGTCCGTACGGCCCCGAGCAGCCCCTGGGCCAGTGGAGCAACCCGGGCCCCACACAGTACCCCCCCCCTCACCACCTGACCGCCGACTACACAACGCCCGCTGTGCACCATGGATATCACCATGGCAACGTGGCTGAGTGGAGCCAGTACCCTCTGTTCTCTTACTCGTGCTGGTGAAGGATCCGAGGTGATAAGTGACTGATACCGGTGCTGATCCGGGGGGGTGCATGCCGACAAGAGGCCCAAAAAAAACTGATTTGAGAGAGGAAAAATATGTTTGATGAGAGCGGCCGGACGTCTCCAGACTGACAGGATGCTGACTGAAACCAAAGTGTGCTACGCCATGCTGTTTGATTGTTATTATTGTTGAATTGTCTATTTATTTTCTATTTCATCTCATCTCTCAAGTTTAAATATTATTTTTGTAAAAGAAAGATTGAAACGTGTGTGCAATTTATGTCTGTCTTCAAATTGTGATGTGATCTGAAAATAAAAACCTTAAAGTAACAGGATCAAATATATTTTCTGTGTTATTTTGAACCATTTGTATCTGTTATAAACTAAACAAAGGTAGAATATGATTTTAGAAGGCTCATACGGCTGCAACTTGTTTTCTTATCTACTGAAACAACATTTTAAACATAGTTGAATGGTTTAATACTTTCCATTTCACGTAAGTACATTGAAATAAATGTCTAGCATAATGTAATACTCAGTTATCATCTCTTCTTAACACTTTAAATTCAAATGAAGTTTAAATCTTCCACTTAACCATGAAGTAGCACATTTCCTGTCTGTAGTTTAGTTTTTAAACTGTGTGATGTGGATCCAGCTAGTTTATTGAATGAGTGTATTGTGGCAGTGTCTTGTTTGCGGCTGCACATCTGCATGCTTTGTACCCGTCACCTCTGATAAGCAGCACGTCCTTTCGGTGGCGTTTGTTTGTATTTCCTCTTTGTTGATCTAACGAGGGCCCCTCTGTAGTTTGGAGGGTCCCAGCAGGCTTTAAAGGGACTGTATTACTGTGACTGCGGCTCACCTGCTGAGGTTTACCCACCGGCATCATAAAGCCCTGCATGACTCTCGTTCTACATCTCAATGAGCCCTTAAAAAGCTTGAAAATGGGGGGGCTGTTGACACCTTTTCACAAGCTCAAAAACACAGGCTGGGCCTATGGACTCCACCCTGGGTGGATATGAGCTGCTAATGACTGTTGTAAAGTCCAGGGGGGAGGAGGAGGAGGAGGAGGTCATCCTTCAGGAACGAGGCTGACATGGTGTAGATTTTACTCAGAGATTCATTAAATTGGACCAGTAATACTTTTTCAACCTCAGTGACCCCAGCTGTATGCACACAACTCATTTTAATGAGGATGGGAAGAGCTATATATACTGTATGACCTATATTTATATGTCTGTAGACTACGGCTGCTGTGTTAAGACGTCACTTGATGATGTTCAATTTCAGACTTATTATTAGATCATATCTACCTGAGGCCAGCTTTTCAGTAAAACAAAGATAATCATTACATGTATGTTAGGAATTGGGGAAATTAAACCATCAAAGACTGAACATCATAGAATTTTGCCCCAGGTTATTGTTAGGGATCATACACGGTGACTGATATTTGTTGCCATATCATTGCAATTATAATTTGTATTCTAAAATATTTGTCATAAAAAAAAAACACTGCCCTGCATTTTAACTTGCTTAAGGCCAGACATTATGGTTTTATGGGGATTTGTTAGAGCCTGGTTCCACACCTGTAACTCAATTCATCATTCCTCAAATTGAACTTTAATGAGTCACTTAAACATGAATGAATCAAAAAGACACACACATTCACATTTTTTTTTAATTACAAGGAAATATTGCTTAATCTTGTTTGGATAATCTCTCCCTGTCCCCTCCATATCTGTGAACAAACCTGTGATGAACATTTACAATAAATGAATATTGTATAAACTGTCAGTGGCTGCTGCATCAAAGGGAATATTAGTTGTTTTAAGATATAATGGATAGCTGAGTATATGTATGTTTTAAGGACAAAGGGCAGTCGTTTGAAAGAGGGGGTTTTTAGGGGAACACTTTCTAAAAGAGGTAAGATGTCTGCTCCTTTTTGGTTAAATGCCATCTCCAGATCATGTTATGCTGATGCTATTTGATCTTCTACATCACAGAAAAGGTGTTTATTGTATGTTATGTGTTGCATTGGTGCACAACAGGTTGTACTCACTGTCAGTAAATGCATGAAATGTGTTGTAAGGTAAAGACAAAGCCACTGTCGTCACAGGGTCAGGGGTGCAGCTTCCTGCCTGCTCTAATAGATGTCCAAGAGGAATATTGTGTGTATTGTCAGCTGGAGAAAAGCAGCCTTTCAGTCCACAGGTGACTTTCGGTGTCCTCTGTTGACTTATTGGACCTCCTGCTCTCCCACACAGCAGGAGAAACAAGAATGAAAGTGAGCACTTAGTAAAATTCCCTCGACACACACATCCTCAACTCCACTGGGTTTAATCTGATAGCTCCACATCAATGGTTATTGTGGACCTTTTAATTGCTCTGTTAATGGTCCAGCAAAGAGCAGCTCATCGACCTGCACTCAGAGGCCAGTAACAGGGGGTTAAGTGCATGACATATGTCCCGAGAATCCCCCGGGTGGTACTGCAGCGTCAGAATGAAAAGACGCATGAAGGCAGCAGATTGTTGATCCTGGATGTCCACTGCTGCTGTCAGCACATCCCACCAGACAACTTGGAGGGGGCTGGCACTGTAGTGTGAACAAGAGAGAGGGGGGTAGGGGGGGGGGGGGGACACTCACTTAGGGCTGGTAGGGGGTAACAGATGTAGATGAAACAGCCAGAGAGGAAAGCAGCAGTCAGCCTTCATAAAGCTGATGGAGCAGAGGGCCAAATGGAGAGGAACTGGGAGAGACTGGGAGGAATAAAAGACACGGGCAACGACAGGAAGACAGCCATCAGGAGACTTCTATTAAAACAACACTAACGTTGATTAAAGAGAACACATAAGTTCTAAACCCCGGCTAGGGACTCATCAAGGCTTCTAGTAACACCAAGACCCCCACCCCAAGGTACAAGAGAAATGTTTGAGTTTTACATTTTTATTTCAGCCAAGGACCCCTAACAAAATAGAGAATATACTCAGCCTCTGTGGAATAATTAGATCATTTTAGAATTAGAACAAAAGTTAAATGTAAGGAATATATAAGGCATCTGCAGATTACAAGGGTTATTTAATTGTCGGGTAAGAATACTAACATTACAGGGTTTTACAAAATATTTGTTAAACTTTTAAGCATTTTTTAAAATATATAATATTTGAATATATATATTATACATATTTTTTCTTTGTATTGTAATGTTTTTAAATGAATATGTATGTATATATCAGAGTGGCCTGACCCCACTTTAAGAACCTAGTCCAAGATTATTTTATTTACCTGGTAGGCGGTTCATTTAAATGTCCTGAGTTTTATTTAAGTTAGGCAGTGATATCAGGGAGATTTCATTAGAAATTCTTAAAAACTATACACAACTGTCTGTCTGTTTTTTTCTGTACATTTCTGTACAAAGAACATATTCCAGGAAACAGTTTTGTAAATAATTAGCCAATAAAGTGAAACATTGCCATTATATTTGTTTAACGCGATGCCTAAAAGGTGTTCCAAAGTTCTCGCTGCCAGAAATACAATTGTGTTGGAAAAATAATTAGCTCTTTCATTTTCATTGTTGAAATAAAATAGTCAAATAGCTTGAAATGATATTCAATTAATAAACACCATGTGACTTTAACGCTATGACCCAAAAACATGACAAAAGAAATACATATCTACCTTTACTACATCTCAAAATGTATGTCATGAATGTTGTATTAAGATTGCATATCTTGTGTGAGTGTGTGTGAAAAGCATTTCTCTTTCAGAAGGAACAGACTCGTACCTGGAGTTTTTTTAATGACAGAAGTTAAGGATTCACAGAAGCTTCTTAATGTTTGTAATAAACAGCGTGCCGAAGAACTGAGGCATGGAGCAAAGCTGGACTGAGTGGATGGAAATATTCTCAAACCTCTCCTCATTGTGCTCTTTGGACTCAGTACCAGAATAATTTATACAGTATGGAAGATCATCAAAAGGACTTTGTTTCACGCAAAAATCAAGACTTCCTAAATCATTCACAGATATGGCAGCATATTGTGAGCTGCACTCTACCACCTGGAAGCGTTCACTAGTCATGTTCAAGCATTGTTTAAACTAATAATGATGCTAGAGGCACAGTAACTAAGACTCAACTCCATCCGCACATTATACTGAAACATAAAAATACACAACACAAGTTGAGGATCCACAAAAACAAGGCACAATGTTAAATAGTAAGAACCTAAGGATTACTCAGTAGTTTGGATGAGAAGATCATTTCAGTTTCTACCGATAACCAGAAGCTGCAAGAAGAATTACAGTTTGCATATTTGAGAAGTCTTTTTGAACTCTCTGTGGTTAACAATTTAGCTTAAAAGTGCTGTAAATATCTGAAGTCTAAAGCCAATGCAGGTCATATATATTAGCATATTATTGCACAGCCAGTGGTCTTGACTGCCTTCTGTATATTTAAGATATTGAGGTTTTCTCTATGACAAATAAAGAGAGCTAATAAAAAGGTAGCTACAATGATATCTAGAAATGAGTTTTTAGTGACAGTGCAATTTTGAGCTTGGATTCATGGGCGGAGCATGATTATCTTAAAAGATATTTGCAAAATAACAAACAGTGTGCGAAGGTCCCGAGTGACTCTTTGGTTCAGAGGCACTCAAAGTGATCGACTTGCAGGAAGGACCCGATGCTGCGCAAAGAAAACCCCCCCCAGGTACTTTAACATGCTGTGTAAGAAAAAGTGCATGACAGCGTCCAAGTGCTCAGACAAACAGCTGCTTCAGTCCTCACTCGAGTCCTCCGAGTTGTCCATTTCCACGTCTTCCCATGATGCCTTGGTGCGCTGCTCCCAGCTCCGGGCCTGAGCGATCACAGCGGGGGGCATCAGCACCACGCAGGCTGCCAGGCCGGAGACCCGCTCCTTAAAGTCCGCCTCGCCCTCCCACTCGTCTGCGTCGCTGTTGAACACGTGGATGTATTTCATCCTGTTGCCTTTGTCGTGAGAGCGGCCCCCCAGGACGTAGATGCGACTGTCCAGCACGGCGATGCCCGGTTCTCCGTGTCCCGCGGGGAGGGGGGACATTAAAGACCAAGAGTTGGCCTCGGGGTCAAAGCATCCCACCTGAAAAAAACAAAAAACGAAAAACATATGAATTTCCATTTTATTCCATTTCTGTCCAAACAGTTTAACCTCGGTCAAAAAGAACAGCTCTGATTGTATTCTTATTTATTATAATATTTCACTGAGCCAACACCAGGGAAGTCAACTATACTAATATTATTTTATTTGTTTATAAGATTAAAGAAAAATGTGTGTCTCAAAAAACAGAACAGGTTGCTGTCTGC